ATTCTCTTAATATGCAGTAGATCATTTAGATCTGCTTTAAAATGATGTTATATATCAAGATCAAAAGGAAAATGAAAATTAGCTAAAGAAACGCAGTGTCAAGGAAGAAAAACAATAATTCGTTGACGTAAAGTCAGTCCTCCGTTCACAAATGTTTGAAGATAAGGGCGATATCTCAAAATTTGAAATACAAGTGTAAAATTTATAGACAATTAAAAAAATAAGTAAAGAGTATTTAAAATTTTTGTAAATTAATGTTTTTGTTCAAAAAAGGGAAAAAAAAAGAAGTCTCAAGGACACTTAATTAGTTAAAATTAAATTTGATATTTTTAATTTAAAGATTTTAAATTTAAATTTTTAATAAATTAGGAAGAGATTTAACATATATATATATATAAAGAGCGCAATCTTGGAAGAAATTAAGGAAAACTCTTACGTACCTAATTGATATATATAACTTTTTTATTGTCATCAGATAACAAATTTCACTGATTATTTAAGAATAATTAATGTAAATCTACACCTTTGAAATGGAGTATGGATTTCAAGATTTCACCACAATGATACAATACCTGGAGAAAGGTGCAAGCACAGATTATAAGTTGTACACCTTGTACTATAACCAATACTACAAAATCATCCAAAAAGAGAAAAGAAAAGAAAAAGACAAGAAGAGAGAAACCAGAAGAAAAAGATAGCTAGGCAGGGAGATGGAAGTAAATACTTACAGAGTTTGCAACTAAGCATGGCTTGTTGATTGCTTCCTCTCGATCTGACTCTGATATATTCTCTACATGTGCAATAGATGTAGACTCCTTTTGAATGATTTTATAGACGAAGCCAAAAGGAAAATGAAAATTAACTAAAGAAAGGCACGGTAAAAAGGGAAAAACAATAATGCCGTTGACGTGAAGTCAACCCTCCAATCCTGTAAGTTTTTGATGATGAGTGAGATGTCTCAAGTTTTGAAATAGAAGTGTAATTTAAGTGGTATACAGGCTTAATGGAAAATAAAATTTTCAGATTATTAAAGAATAATGTTACTGTTTATTCCTTTATCTTTTAAGAATTGAAAAAAAAATATTTTAAAATTATAATATTATTTTAATTAATTAAT